TCGACAATGAAACGCTTGAGGTTGGGTTAGAATTCATTATTTTTTTTATTGGTTTTTTCAGGGATTTCAAATCAATTTATATAATATCAGAATATCAGACAATGGAAATCCTAGCTAATGACATTCAGCAAAACATTTCTTTCCCAAAAATTCATCTTTCCTATAAAAATACCCCTCTCAATTTAATTATAATTTATCGTGGCTAGTGGGTGTTTATATATACTCGGGTTGATCCGGTGTTCAACTGTGACAACAGTTCTGAGATAAATAAAGTGAAAAAAGCATAAAAGTGTGTATTTTACTACGCAGCCTACTGATGAAATTATTATAATTAAAACGTCATCCCACACCACACCAGCTGTCTCGAGCTTGAAATCTTCAATTCGAAACATGATATCACACCTTCCCACGTTATTAAAGAAATGACAAATGGAAGACATCCATCAAATGCATCGTTAAGCAGAGTCAGGAATGTTGTGAATTCTCAAGGGATAAATTAACATTCATTTGCTGCCTACAAGGAGCACCTTTGGATTCGCAATTGTTATAAATATTTATTATTTATGGTATCCTATTCACGACAGTCATTGTTGTTACGGGGGTTCTTCGATGAGTTATCAGAATACGATATGTTGCAACCAATGATTTTTTGAACAACCCTCGTACAGCTTGGCAAATCTAGCTGTACGTCTAAGATGCGCAAAAGATAAAGAGAGATGGTAATTGATTTGTGCAATTGGCGATGTGCACAAGTCTATATGCAGTACAATTGGACAATTTTTCGCTTCATAGGGTTATTGAAAATTACACGCCAGAAGATCTCATACTCAAATTTGAATTAGCTCGATATATAGATTTATCTTAATTTTTTTTGGCATTACTACCATCAAAACAAATAACTCACTTGAGCCAGAATTATGAAACAATCAACTGTCGTTAATTCTCTTATTTGGTTAGGCTTTGTCGAATCTAGAGTATCACTGACTTGAAACAATGAAATTGATAAACCTTGCGTCTCACTCCTGTATTCGATTCCGATGAAACATGAATCCGGGACCCGTTTTGTTATTAGTGTGTTTGCTGTCGAGTGTTGCTTCTAGTGCTAAGATACTAGCTAGTATATTCTCGCCTTCGTATAGTCATCAGGTAAGTTCATTGGCTAGCTATTATATTTGATTATTATTATTAATTCCACCTATTCTGCAAGATACGATATCAAAAAGGGCGTATTCTTCATGAAATCCTAAGTAACCTGGGTTGGTTTTATATGACATGATATTCAGAATGTAAAATATACCACTATGTTCAAAAAATAAGGTGGAAGTTCATTTTTCCTGAAAAAAATTATTCTGTTTTGTCCCTCTCGAATCTATGTTTCCTAAAGCCAGATTGATGATCGCTCAAGATGTTGAAGCCTTGCAAATATCACTTCCATCTTTGGAGTGATGGCCTTTTTGAATGACAGCTAGATGATTTTAATGCTATGCTATACAGGCTGATTCACGGTGGAGGGCACATTAGACGTTTCTGGTGAACCAGACAACGGATCACTTTGAAAATTTAATGGAGGGCATATTCGGACATTCTTGAACTGTCGAACGAGATAGTTTCGTTAACTCGCATATTCTATTCACAATAGCATTCTGTGAAGTGTGACAGTTTTCCTTCTTCAAGCATTCATGAATATTTAAAATTACTCGCTGAACTTGAAAATGTAAGTCCTTATTTTCAAATTCCGGATCCCTGTCGATTGACACAGATTCCTCACACGTAATGTTATCATTTGTTACAAAAGGCCTCCAGAAAGCCGTATTTATTGTTGACAAATTAATTTTTATATTTAGGTATATAAACAGCCAACCCTTGTCTTTAGAATCAGTATCAATTTGCTTTTCTTAAGATGCTAACCTTGTTAGCGAAACGCGCGTCGAGTGCAAAAATGTCAGTTTGGTGTTAGGGTAATTGATCTCTAGAAGAAGTTTTCAAAAATTGGTTTGCAAAACCACTCACTACCTCACCTAACCCCACGAACACACGGCACTGATGAAGAAATATTGTGAAACGACAAAAAATTTGTATTCCAGTCCAGCTAGCCGAGCCTTTACTCCTCAACTACATTTGAGAGCACGTTTACTGATTATCTGGGCGACTAGGCGCCACAGGCAATAAATGTTTATGACTGTACTCATCTTTTATTGCCGTTCCAATTGGGAATGGATAGACTATACCTGACAACGACAAAAAGTATCAAAATTTCAGTTTTTGCCGTTTTTTCACCATAAGAATATCAATATTTTCCAACTTCTACTCAAATATTCATTATCAGTAGCTTCGTGGTAGGAAATTGCGAATTTGTATATTTCTCACTTATCAAAAACTGCAGATTTCTACATCTTTGAAGTAGATAGTCTTCAGGCCACTATGGAGGGAACTCGCCGACAGAGGTCACCACATCACCCTCCTCACCACGGATCCCATGAGGGACGTTTCCAGAAAGAACATAAAAGAAATCGATCTGAGCGGTAGTTACGAGGTCATGGAAAGTTTCGGAAACTCCGACATCCTCAGTAAGAAAAGGAGCGAAGGGACTCCAAAAGTTATATTGGAAATGGAAATTTTGGATGTTCTCGCCAAGGTGGCGGATTGGCAGCTTGGAGTACCAGAAGTGAGGAATCTCATAAGGAATCGGAGCGAGTATTTCGATGTTTTGATCGTGGAGGCTTTGAATCCCATCCATATGGCGTTTGCAGAAAGGTATTTATAGTAGTAGTTAGGTTAGGTTCAAGGTCCACTGCAACCTGCGTAGGTTTATTGTGTTTCACACATTTCAATATGATATGATATGATACCGTAGTATCATCAATGAAATTTTCGTAAGATAAGATTGGGATTAGGAAGTGAACTGTAGGTCGACTCTACATACACAGATTTCTCTAAAGCCTTTGACAGAGTCAATCGTGACTTGCTGATCGCTGAACTCAAATCATTCTCTTATAGAAGGAAATATTTCACATTAGATATGACAACTTTTCATCTTGAAGTACTATCAGGAGTGCCTCAGGGATCTCACAAGGACCCTCTGCTGTTTCATTTATTTTTCAAGGATGTAACCACTGTTTTTGCACATTGTTCATTTCGCATGTCTGCAGATGATTTGAAGATGCTCAAGACAGTTCATAATATATCAGATGGGAGGAGCTGCTATATGACCCTAGATAATTTTTCTTAATGGTGTAGTGTCAACTTATAACATTTGAATTCAGAAAATCACTTTCTTGAGGATCAGTGATTTGATTGATTTTTCATATAGAATCAATGGGAAATGTGTAATGGTAACTGATAAAATCGAAGATCCAAGAGATTCAAAAATGTCCATTAGGCACTATACAGGGTGTAACTGAATAAGTGTAAAACATTGAGGGAGGTGATTCCTCATCGAAAAAAAGATGGGATATTTCTTATAAAGGAACTTCATTGGAGCATCCCTTGTTAAGATACAGACCCTTAAAGGGGGTACATAAAATTTGTATAACAATTTTTTTCACAAGCACTCAAAAAGTTACAATATTGAAATTAACCTGACGTTTTGTACTACCAAAAAGACACTTAGCCAGTAATTTATTTGGTTTACCCCATGGTTGTAAGGGGTGGAAAACGCAACCCCTAAAATTTATTTCCAATGTAACTTTTTGTCTTATTATTTGTTTACCATTTAAAAATGTATTTCCGATAGCCTGCTTCATTCTAAACGAAAAATGTCTCTTGAGTTTTTTGCCCAAAATAAACCAGTTCGCAGCAAAACATTATTTTACGAACAACTACAGACACACATCGTCATAAATGCGAACTGGATTTATTGTTATTTTGTTGTTAGTACCTGCATTAAACGATTAAAGGGTGATAAACAAAACTAATTTATTGATAACAAAACACACAACATGTAGAAATCATAGTAAATGTTCAATATGTCTACCTTCAGACATTACGCATGCGTCTAGACTTCCACGCATTGAGCCACGTATTCGCTCAAATATTCCTGGAGTCTCTCTGATTACCCTGCACGCATCGATGATGCGGTTTCTTAAGTCCTTTACATCGCGAACAGGAGTACGATAAACCAAGTGCTGTAAATGGCCCCAAATAGAGAAATCGAGAGGATTGAGTTTCATGGATGGAGCGGGCCAGTTTTCTGGTCCTCCTCGACCTATCCACTGATTTGCATATGTTTCAGTTAAATGCTGATGTGCTACTTGACTTAAATGGGCGGGAGCCCCATCATGCATAAAAAACATATCCCTTCTGACGCCCAAAGGAACTTCCTCCAACAGTACTGGATGCACTTCTCTTGAAAATTGAACGTATGCCTCACCATTTAATCGAGGAGGTAGAAAATGAGGCCCAATTAAACCATCCCTAAAAACTCCGAGCCACACGTTAAGAGAAAACTGTTCTCGATGGTTTGTTTCGACAATAGCGTTAGGGTTTTCATCAGCACATATGTGTTAAAATTAATAATCTTGTCCCGAGAAAAACTACATTCGTCTGTGAATTCTATCGTCTTCAGAAAGTCACAATTTTTTCTAATCATTTCCAGCATCCTATTGCAAAATTCATGACGGTTCGGAAAGTCTCGCGGTAACAGTGCCTGTACTCGTTGCAGATGGTAAGGGTATAAGAGTTGTTCCTTCAAAATTCGAAATACCGTCATATCCCTGTATAATGGAGCCCGTAAAGTGTTGAATCTATAAAAATCGTTTGCAATGCACAAGTTAGATCCATACTTGAGTACAACTCCATTTTGTGGCCGTCTCATTATAATATCAATGTTAATTTATCAGAGGGATTCTGTGACACCAGCCAATGAGAACGTAGCAATTTGTCACATGACCAGTTTGTTCGGTTGGTTACGCTGTAGGTGATAACACCTAACCTAACCTAACCCTCGACTTTGCGTTATCACCGATATCGTAACCAACCGAACAAACTGGTCATGTGACAAATTTCTGCGCTCTCATTGGCTGGTGTTACAGAATCGGCTCTGGTGATCTACTTTTTTCTCATAAAAATACTTGGAAAGTTGTGTTTTCAGAATTAGTCCAGTTAAAAGACGTCAACCAGAAGTCTGGTCCAGTTTACACAAGCCTATACAGTGTGGTTCTTGATGTGCTGATTGAAAGTGCCCACAGCCTAAGCTCAGAATTGTACATTTTTCGAGATGTGAACCTTTGAATATAGATTTTTCCATTTTTTGCAGTTTTTGCTCATCAATCGAGAGCTCTCACTTCTGGTTGGGATAGAATTTGGATGTTCAGCAAGCAGAATTCGTTTTACGGATAATCTTCTTCAGTTATAATAGATGCCGCCATCGATAATTTTTCATACACTGCTTCACACTATCTCGATAATCTGAGAATGTGGTGCTGTGACATTTTCCTCAGATGGGCTCAAAATGGATGATAGTATCTCACAGCATCTGTATCTTTCATACCTGAGAGTACTCTACAGATAGAATGAAGGGGTTCAGGTATTGGAAGCGAACTATTTTGCGCCGTAATATGTTCTACCTAAAAAGGGGTGTTCCATCGCGACTGGCAGACAGTGTATATTACTTTGGCCAACCTCATTCAGGTGGTAGGTGCATTTTGAGTATTTCCATCAGCCCTGAGAGTTTCATCGTTCTACCTCGAATATTACGGAAGATACGGGGGTGTTTCCATGAGAAGTGACAAACACTGTATAGGCTTGTGTAAGCTGGACCAGACTTCTGGTTGACGTCTTTATACTGGACTAATTCCGAGAACACAGAACTTTCTAAGTCTTTTTATGAGATAAAAGTAGATCACCAAAGCCGATTCTGTGACACCAGCCAATGAGAGCGTAGAAATTTGTCACATGACCAGTTTGTTCGGTTGGTTACGGTATCGGTGATAACGCAAAGTCGAAGGTTAGGTTAGGTTAGGTTAGGTGTTATCACCGATAGCGTAACCAACCGTTTCCATGAGAAGTGAGACACACTGTATGTTGGTTCCATTCTGTATGTTATCCATCTAGCCTTTCTTACTCCGAATCCTTTGTAGAGTGTTCTAGGTGACTAAAACTCAGCCTGAGAAGGCATTATTTATATGCTGAAGAACATTTGAAATATTTCTTTTCAAACTGTGTTCACATGAGACTCCTTTCCATTTCAGATTCAACGTACCTTTTATCGGTGTGTCACCACAAGAAGCACCCATCAGAATCTACACAGTACTTGGAAACTACGTACATCCAGTCATTTTCCCCGAACCCTATCTACCCTTTTCCCCTCCACTGAACCTCAAGCAGCGCCTCGCTAGCGTAGCCTTCAACACGATCACCTGGTACTACCAGTACCACTGGAGGTATCCGCAAGAAACGGCTATCGCCAGGAAACACTTTGGGAACATCAGGGAACTACAGCAGATAGAGAGGGAGATGAGCTTTCTCTTCATCAACGTCAACCCCACCTTGCAGCAGACTAGGCCGGTAGGAATGAACACAATCTACTTGGGTGGAGGGATGCATATAGGGGAGGTCAAGCCCTTGCCTGAAGTAGGTTTTAGCGTAACTCTGCTGTGAATAAAATAATTGAAGGCATATTTTTGATGACCTCCTCGCACACCAGATCTGAAACCCAGTTATTCCAGGAACTGCAAGACTATTTGGATAGCAGTGGAAACCAGGGCGTTATCTACTTCAGTCTGGGTTCTAATGTCAAAAGTTCTCGTTTGACTGGAAATCTCCTGGATGTCATTGTGTCAACTTTCGCTGCCTTGCCCTACAAAATCCTATGGAAATTCGAATCCAGTTTGCAGGATCTCCCCGAGAATGTGAAGATTATAAATTGGGCTCCTCAGAGAGATCTGTTAGGTATGATTCAATGAAAATGTAAGTTTTGTTCAGTGTGTGGTACGTGGTTTGATTTTCCCCTGAACTCATGGGTAGCCTCAAGGATGACTTCAATATAGGAAAAGTTTTGTTTGTAGATTCAGACGTGTTTAGATGCTTTGACTGATGTCTGTGATAAACTTTTTGGGTTGATTTTTGGTTTTGGAACGCTTTTGGTGTTATTTTTTCACCTGATCTGTCTATCTTTCTCTGGAGAGAAATAAAAATAATAAAAAATAAACGAAACCTTGAAATGAAAATAAAGAATAACAGAGAGTTACCTCACGAAGTTTTGATTGTTAGTATCAGGATAACTATTTATAGGTCAAATATGCAACTTCTTTGAACTTCCTCTTGAACCAGTGTTCCCCCCTGTGTATAATCTCAGCTTGAGACCACTCGATGTTATGTTGATGAGTTACTAATGTGAATTTGATTGCCTGTAGTAATTCGACAACATGCCTTGAGGAAGCTATCCGAAAACGAGGACTTGGAAGACCTATGGAACCTATGGAAGTAATCATGGATTTACTAGGATGCTGTGTACGGAACTGATTTTTTCAAGTGCCAAGCACAAGAGATACACACAGCGAGGAGAAAACAGCAAATCGGGAATAGCAGAGACTCATCAACATAACATCAAGTGGGCTCAAGCTGAGATAATCTACAGGAATGAACACTGGTTCAAGAGGAAGTTCAAAGAAGCTGCATATATATCGTCAAACGACGCATTCGCAAATCTAGCGTAGAGATACGCAACATATGGAAACCTGTTATTAAGCGAACAACGGTCAACTCTCGCTAACCCGGCGAAGCGGAGAGAGAGAGAAGAAGGAATAGGTGAAAGCGCTTGAATAACTTATAGTCACCTCTCGAAGGATTATTCCAGTCTTCACCCGAAGACTATTATAGATACTAACAATCGAAACGTCGTGAAATAACTTGTGTGAAATCTTTCAAATTAGTTTATTGATTTTTTTCAGCTTTATCCTTATTTTTTTTTTCATTTAGTTTTACTCTGTGATCATTTCTATTTTTTATCTTAAATATTTTATTGTACTTTGATTTCACGTTTTNGGGCCGTGCACCTAAAAATTACTGGCTCAGTGTCTTTTTGGTAGTACAAAACGTCAGGTTAATTTCAATATTGTAACTTTTTCAGTGCTTGTGAAAAAAATTGTTATACAAATTTTATCTACCCCTTTAAGGGGCTGTATCTTAACAAAGGATGCTCCAATGAAGTTTCTTTATATGAAAGATCCTTTTTTATCGATGAGGAATCACCTCTTTAAATGTTTCACACTTATTTAGTTACACCCTGTATATAATTGATATTTCAGCTTCTCATTCTAATTTCATTAGTTCTTTCATAGATTTCGGATCGTATCAGAATCTGATTAGACAAAGGAAGTCCAAACAGTTAAATTCACCATTGAATTATCTTGAATGAATGAGCCTTCTAGCAGAAAGTAGTAATAATCCAGGCAATATATGGCGATTGTTATGGTTTCAAATTCTTTCTGGTTTAGCAGTTTTCTTCAACATATCGGTGAAATTCTGGTGTTGTCCTGGAAAGGACTGTCCTGGAAAAAATAGGATGCACGATGACGTAGGAAGACAACTCCTCGAGAGGATGTACAATGGGTCATATGTGGCCGAAGTACTGTGAACCTACGCTCTACAGATTACAGATAATCCAGTCATTTAAGCTTAAATTAGGTAAGAATTTCGAAATTCGAGATACCCAGCTGTAAGTCTGTGAATACTTGTATATTGACACCCTAAAAGTTGTCTCAAAACCTACATATGGTAGGGTGTAAACAGCTATTAAATTTCAAGGTCAAAGGTCACAAAAATCGGTTTTTTGCGCTTTTTTTGGAAATATCTCATTTCCTATGGGTTTTTTGCTATTTGAATTCATTATCAATATTGAAGAATACAAAATTCTCTACAAATTTTGTTTGAAAAAATTTTTTATACGGTGAACCGTTTTCGAGATAGAGGGCGGAGAGCACGCGGTCACAGCATCACTTCAGGTCAACCGGTGCCTCCGGTCGAAAACGCGCCATATATAGTTGATGAACTATCGATAAATCAATGATTATAAATATTTGTCAATNACCATGCCGGCAAAATTAACCTGGTCAGGACTCTGAGCAATTCCTCTGACAACTTCGTCATCGAGACATACCTCCTCAATACAGCAAGCCGTATTATCTTATGTAACCTCGGTAAATCCCGTATAAAAAATTTTTTTAAACAAAATTTGTAGAGAATTCCTTATTCTACAATATTGATCATGAATACAAATAGCAAAAAACCCATAGGAAATGAGATATTACCAAAAAAAGCGCAAAAAACCGATTTTTGTGACCTTTGACCTTGAAATTTAATAGTTGCTTACACCCTCTCATACGTAGGTTTTGAGACAACTTTTAGGGTTTCAATATACAAGTATTTACAGACTTACAGATGGTTATCTCGAATTCCGAGGTGAACTTACTATAATGATTGGACTAAGACAGATTCTGATGTAGTGGAGGCTTTAAATATCACAGTTGACCTTGTGTTCCGTCAATTTTTTCAAATATTCCAATAGACTAGGGATGGCTTCCTGAAACTGCAGAAGTATCAAAAATAATTTCTTTGAATCGGTACAATCAAGTAGTACAAGTTTCAACCACATTCTATTTTACCGCAAACAATGTATTTTTACAAAAAAAATAGCCTCTTCGAGAAAACAACAGTCAGTCTTCATATTGTTATCGCTGATTTTTTGTAGCGGATTCCAGAATCAAGCTATTTATAACCCAATGTGGTCTCCAGTCTTTGGAAGAAGGCATCTTCAACGAAGTACCCATGGTGGGAATGCCTTTCATGTGGGATCAGCCAGGCAATGCCAAAACTCTGGAGAAGAAGGGACTGGGGCTAACAGTTGATATCATGAATCTAACAAAGGACTCGTTCACTAAAACCATCATGGAAGTTATCAGCAATCCTATGTAAGGTACCAATAGGGTTCTCTTCATCATCATTATGACTTGTGTTTCAGCTACAAGAAAAACGTTGTGGGGCTCTCTAAATTGATGAAAGACGTGGAAAAGACTGGCTTGGAGAGGGCGGTATGGTGGACGGAATATTGCATTAGAACGAAAGGGGCGCAACATTTCAGAAGTGGGGTTGGAGAAGTGCCAAGTTACCAGATGTACCTACTGGATGTTATCCTGATTGTGGTCATCGCTTGCATCATCACTACTCTCATATTAGTAATGAGTGTTGTACTGTGTTATAGGATATGCTTCAGGCGGAGCAGAAGTCTGAAATTGAAGAAAAGCTGACCATAATGGAGGTGCTTCACTTGTGGTTTGAAAGTTGAAGATGATATTGATTTAACAAAAATAAAAAACATTGAAGGACTTCAAAAACTTTGTTTTACACTCCTGGATAATATTTTTGAAGGATATTTGGCTTAGGATTGAATTAACCAGGTGACTGAGCTGTTCTAACTTTGAGTAAATAAAATTCACCAACAGTATGAGTAGGTCATTCTGAACCAATTATGGAACTGGCCGGGTTGATTGAAAAATAACTCATGAGAAATGTTAAAAATTATGTACACGTTACAAATAATCAAACTCAACTTTATTTCACTTTAAACACTACAACTAAAACGTCAACTATTATTTGAATGTCTATCGCCTTACTAGATCACTTCGCGTACCACACTGTATCTTCCACTTGACTGTCTCGATATGCTCGAGGCTAGCGTTTATATATCGTAATCGAATGCGCTAGAAAATTCCGCCGAAATTCCGTCGAAATCGATAGCATTATTCTAGCTGCTTCTAGAGTGGCGGGGAATCCTCGTACATTCGCGCGCTTTTAGCTACGTCACCATTAGTTTATAGGTACCAGTGGCGGCCGGCG